GGGTGTATCTTTTAATTGTCTGGGTGGATTTCTACCTATATCCTAGGGATTTATTTATTTATTTATTTATTTATTTTGGTATCATCAATCTATAATTACATGAGGAACACTGTGTTCACTAGACTCCCTCCATCACTAAGTCCCCCCCACAAACCCCACCACAGTCACCGTCCATCAGCATAGCAAGATGTCACAGAATCACCACCTGTCCTCTCCATGCTGCACAGCCCTCACCATGACCCCCCCATTATACATGCTAATCATAATGTCCCCTTTCCCCCCACCCACCTTATCCCTCCATTCCCACCCATCCACCCCAGATCCCCTCCCCCTGGCAACCGTCAGTCCACTCCTGGGCTCTGCGATTCTGCTGCTGTTTTGTTCCTTCAGTTTTTTTTCTTTGTTCTCACACTCCACACATGAGTGAAATCACCTGGCATCTGTCCCTCTCTGCCCGGCTCACCCCACCGAGCATAATACCCTCTAGCTCCATCCATGCTGCCACAAATGGTAGGATCCGTTTTTCTCCCATGGGCTGAACAACACTCCATTGTGTACATGCACCACATCCCCTCCATCCATCCATCCACCGACGGACACCTAGGCCGCCCCCATCTCCTGGCCACTGTAAATAGTGCCACGATAAACACAGGGGCGCACATGTCCTTTTCAAGCTGGGCTGCTGCATTCTTAGGGTAAATTCCTAGGGAATTATTTTGTGCTTTCTAGATTAGGAGATGGGCATCTCACTTTGATATCTTTATCTTGTCCATTCTTTAGATTTTTGTACCTTCCTCTTCTCCTTCATGTAGTTGCCTGTTCTCTTGAGGCCTGGTTTTGAGCAAACAACATGTTTATGTCTTACTGTTGTTTCTTATAAACAGGACTCTATTCCTAAGCCTGATGTGATATCCTTACTGGAGCAAGGGAAGGAGCCCTGGATGGTTTCAAGGAACATAGCAGGAGGGTGGTGCCCAGCTGAGTAAAGATTTAATAGATTGAGAAAGGCACTGCAGTTAAAACCCAGCTGTGGAGCAAGGCAGCACCTTAAAGTTATTGATTGAGGAATCACTCTCTCAAAGAAAAGGCCTAAGGTACATGGAAAAAAGTAAACACTTGCCTTTAACTCCCACCTATAGTATCTGTATTATTCATCTGTCATAATTCCCTCCCTTTTCAATGGTGTAGTTGGAGTCTTTGAAACAGATATTTAGTATCGAGGAAAGGAAATACAGATGTAAAATTGATAACACTAAGTAAAAATTCTCGTTCTGAGTATTGGAAGAATTATTTTAAACTCAAGCTGTATTTTATCTTTTACTAGATACCTTATATATTAAAAGAGACTTAAGATATCAGTCAGTGTCATATATAGATCTCATATGGATCCTGATTCAAAGAAACTAAAAAATACACATTTATAATTAGGTAATTGGGGAAATAGGAAGACTAATTGTATATTTCGTCTTAAAGAATTACTGTTACATTTTCAGTGTGATTTTTATGCTTTTGCAAAAAATGTTTGAGAAATTCATTCTGAAATATTTACAGATGAAATACATAATGCCTGCAGTTTGCTTCAAAATCTCTGGATTTGGCTATGAGAAGTGGGTGGATAATAACTGTCTATAAATTAACAATTGTTGAAACTTGACTGATTGTTACACTGGGTTTTTTCCACTTTCAAAAGTTTACATTATTCTATGGCAAACTTTTAATGCAAAATAATGGAAGTCAGTTAGTATGTAGATGGTGAGGGGAGCTAATAAGTGTGAAATTTTGTAAAACAGGACAAAGAAATGACTGGTAGGTGCTGGGGGTCCTAGGATCAGGGAAGCTGTGTGTTCATACACTTTAAAGGAGACTGTGTTAGTGTCTTTGTATGCTGATGGGACCGAAACATGAAAGCGGGAAAAATTATTTAGGAAGGATGGAGGGTGCAGCTATAGAAGTATATGCAAGAAAGGTACGTCAAAGAAGATAGCCTGCAGGGCCCAGTGGATGGGATTACTTTGGACAAGGAACATTTTATCAGTGGGCAAAACAGATTATTGGAGTTGGTTATGAACAGGTTGGTTGATTTGATTGCATGAGAGAAGATTCTATCATTCTTTCTTTTCCCTACAGATTTCAGTTTGTGGACATAAACCATGAGATCATTTTCTTTTCCCTACAGACTTCAGTCTGTGGACATAAACCATGAGATCGTTTTGAGATTTTAGGAGAGAGAAAGGGTGGGGAAAATTTTCTGAGAGAGAATGAGAACTGTGTTAGGGATGAGGGGAAATACTGAGGTCTGTTTGAGTTACATGGTTATAAATGTATAATGAGAATAGTCAATGTGATTGTGTTCTCTTTACCAGCCATATTCAACTAGTGGAGAAAAATAGGCAGACTTGGATTTAATTAGGGCCGGGGAGGTGAACACAAGACAATAGTTATAATGATGTGCTGACGGTGGAATTTCAGCTAGGTAAGGCCGTTAGGGATATAGCAGAGTGAAAGTTAACATGGCAAATGATTGGCATGAATGAGCAGATGATTCTAGAGTAATTTCTACTTTTCTGCTTGAATTTTGGTGGCCTGGGTTTGTTTATGTCTTGTTTTGTCTTCATGTCTCACTCCTTTCATATTTATCTCCTTTCCAATAGACTATTTTATGAAAAGCATTCAGTTCTTTTCAGCTGCAGAAGAACATGTCATTTTCCTTACTCAGTCCATCTGACATTTTTTTCCTGAGTCTTCCATAGTAATAAGAATGATACTAATAACCACTTCTTGAACTCTTTATGCCAGCCACTTTACATATATTACTCCTAAACTTCACAAGTCTGTGAGATAGATAATTCTATGTCTATTATTACATGAAGAAATGGCAACAAAGACAGGTAAAAGTAATTTGTCCACATAGAAAGGCAATCATTGGTGGAGCTGGGGTCTGAAATGCTGGTCTGTCTGAATTCTCTATTCTCATTAAAATATCTTATTACTACTCTTCCATTTACCCTGAACCATTCCTCAGCTTTGTCAGTCAGCTGCATCACTAGAGACTGCCTGAGTTCCCTTCTGTATTGTTTCAAGGACAACCTTTACAGCATCTGCACCAGTACTAATTTCCTATAATCATAGGAATATTTGCATTGTAATCATTCTGTACCCTCTTAGCACTTTAGAATATTTTGTCTGTTCCACTATCTAGATTGCCGTTCTCCATTATTTCCTTCAGCTTTGTCCAGTTTCCCTTTTGTTACAGAGTTCCTGGTGCTCTAGACTGATTCCAGAAAATATTTGGTGTTCCTAGTCTCCCAACATTCTCAAATCCCTTTGCTTATTAACATTACATAGCCCTTTCATTATGTTTTGAGCCTGTTACAATGCTTGGGCAAAGATAATTTTCTGAAAAGTGTATAGTGGTCCTGGACAGAAAGCAGTGGAAGAGAGGCCCTGAGAAAGGGCGTGGAGGAACAAAATAGATTGTGTGTGGGAAGGAAGGTTGGGTAAGACTACAAAATCAAAGGAAGAATAAAAGAAAAGGCCCCTCAATGTAGTCGTTGAAATAGGGAAACAAAAGATAACCATGACTATATATAAATGGCAGTGAGTGTTGGTAGCTATATATGTGTAAAGGAGAAACAATTGGATGGATGGGTGGTTATGTATTTATAACACCATTTTTCCATTTGCATCATTAGTTCAGCTTTGCTTGGATATTGTTTTACTCTCTGAGGAAAGTGATGAGATAAAGAGCATATACTATCTTTTCAGTGGTGTAGGAGAGATTAAAATCAGGGACAGATGTTTAGAGCTATTCTATAATTATAAGCACAAATGATCATTATGATACTTATATACCTTCCCCAGTTCCTTATCTGTATAGTACTTTCCTTATCCCTATAATAATCCCATTTCATTAATCCAGTGGTTCATTCATTGAACAACTAGCCTGTGGAACACCTTTTGAGTAAGAAGTTGGTTAGTCTGTGTTGAATGAAACAACCATTGTTCCTGCCCCTTCAGAGCTTTAACAGTAAGAAAAATTTAAATTACATATGAATAAATAATGGTTGTATAATTCTAAAATACAGAAAATTGCAGTGAGGGAGGAAATACCACAGTGAGCTGAAGAATGAAGAAGTGAATGTAAAGAGGTTTGTCTGGCTCAGCCTCTCTCAGGAAGTGATTTTTCACTTGAGATGAAGCCAGTTCTGTAGAGCGCCAAGTTTAGAGAATTTCTAACAAAGTGAACAGTCTGGAAATTTTTGAAAAGGTAAAGGGTTTAGGTTATTTCAGATGCTCAGAGGTGATAAATATTTGGTACATAATAAACAGTGGGGAAAGGTGGATCAAGAAGACGTTGGACAGCATTTTGATTTGAGTTATATAAAAGATTGTGTAGGATCTCATAAGCTGTGGTAAGGAGTTTTGATTATATTCTAAGTGCAGTTGGAAAACTGTGTGGGATTCTTAAATTTTGTGCAACATCAGAATTGACAGATTGAATATTTAAAAAATGGGAAATCCAATGCTTATTGGTGTAAATTCTTATTTACTTGATGTAAGGTGGTACACTGACATCCAGTTTTTCAGTACACTATTCAGGTGATTTTATTATACACCTGAATTTAGAAACTACTGACTTAACCTGTTTTCCTAACAACTTCCCTCATCTTTATAAAGAACATTTATGTTCTTTTTCAAATTGAAGGCCAAATACACCATCTTCACTTCTTTACTGATATTATTTTCAGTTTTTTCCCCCATTTCTGCCATAGAAGTTTTATTTCTCCCCAAAGAGGAAAGAAACACTGTGTGTTTACTTTTCTGGTTATCTTTCAGACTTGGAGTTCAGATGTAAGACCAACGAATTATGTCTGCAAAAAGAAATATATGAAGTGATGGCATCCCACCAGATGAAAACGGAAAGAAGTCATAGCCTTGCGGCTTCAGTGTCAGAGGTGACTGGGAATGCAAAGGCAGCTTGAGAAGCAAGAAATGAATCAGTAGGAATATTTGGGGAGGCATTAGTGATGTACAGAAAAATGCCAACTTTTAGCCTACAAACATCTCTTACGGTACATCAGCAAATTTATCCTGGGGAGAAATTATGTAAATTTGAAGAATGTGGGAAGGCCTTTACTTATGACTTAAGCAACAGCAAGGAATTCATATTGGTGAGAAACCCTATAGATGTAAGAAATGTGGGAGGGTCTTTAGACATTTTTCCTATCTTACGGAACACCAAAGAATTCATTCTGGTGAAAAGCATTATGAATATAAGGAATGTGGAAAAGCTTTTATTTGTGGCTCACATCTTAATCAGCATCAGAGAATTCATTCAGGTGAGAAACCCTATAAATGTCAGGATTATGGGAAGGCTTTTAGACAGTCTGCACACCTTACTTGACATCAGAGAATTCATTCTGGTGACAAACCTTATAAATGTAAGGAATGTGGAAAATCTTTCATTTGTGGCTCAAAACTCAATCAACATCAGAGAATTCATACTGGTGAGAAACCGTATGGTTGTAAGGAATGTGGGAAGGCCTTTAGATTGTGTTTACAACTTGGTCAGCATCAGCGACTTCATACTGGTGAGAAGCCTTATCAATGTAGGGAATGTGGGAAGGCCTTTCTTCGTGGCTCACAGCTTACTAAACACCAGAGAATCCATCCTGGCATGAAATACTATGAATGTAAAGAATGTGGGAAAGTGTTCATTGGTGGTTCCCAACTTTTTCAACATTACCAAATTCATACTGAGAAGTCCTATGAATGTGCACAATGTGGGAAGGCCTTTATCTGTGCCTCACAACTTACTTAACATCAGCAAATTCATACTGCTATGAAACCCTGTCAATGCAAAGAATGTGGGAAGGCCTTTATCCATGGCTCAGAACTTACCCGACATCATAACATTCATACAGGTGAGAAACCCTATGAATGTAAGGAATGTGGGAAGGCCTTTAGACAGTCCGCACACCTTACTCAACATCAGAAAATTCATGATCTAACATAACAAATGTAGGAAACCCTTTACTTCACATTCATTTGTCATAGATCTCAGACTTAATGCTAGAATAAAGTACAGTAGATATGGCAGCAATTTTTACCTGATTTTATTCAGAACCAGAACATTTAATACTGAAAAAAAATTGATCATGAATATAGAAGAGTTTATCATGACTCAAATCTTACCGAAATTCTACAAATCCATACTAGAGAATTGGAAAGTGAGAAAAGGCTTACCATTTAAGATTTATGTGACACTAGACAAATTATTTAACTTCTCTGTGCTTCAATTTACTAATAGATAAGCTGTTGATAGTATCTATTTATAATAAAGTTTTGATGTTTGACCACTGATATCTTTTTAAGATCACCCTTTTTATGCACTTTGGCCCAACATCTAGAAAGGCTGATAAGAAAGCCTGTGTGCATCTCCTCCTTTGGAGCCAGGGGGGAAATTTAAACCTTGCAAATTCCAGCCTATGTCCAGTCCCAACCCCATCTATTATAAAACCAACCTGTTCTCTTCTCTCTGCCTTGCTCAGGCCACTCCAGACCTGCTTGTGCAGGCCCTGCTTTTCTCAGGAGTCCCTTTTGTGAGTAACAAACTTTCATACTCTCTTGGTGTGTGGAATATCGTCAGTCTCAACATTTGGTGTAAAATTGGGAGGAGGTCAATCCCAATTCTGTGGAGTGACCAAAAATTAATTTGTGTAGCTAGCTGTCAGGACAATCTTTAGGCTGTGACCACCACTACTTTGAGATTTTTCTTCTCTTGCTCTGAGATTACTAACTAGGTAAAACCACTCTAAATAGTCGGGGAGATGGTTTTGCTGCTTGCTGGCAAGGGTGCACTTTGAGTTGTACTGCTCTGTACTGCATTTGCTGAGTACTACAGAGCCTCTGTTACAGATTCAGTCAACCTAAGTCAGAAGTTTTGATAACTGGTATTTAGGGATGGGCTGAACAGGATTTGAGCCCTCCTTAAAGTGGCCCTAGCTTGTCTCTTGGTCTGGATACATCTGTGGGTGTCGTAGAGTTGTATGTCTCAATTCCAACATAGGCTGTGACGGTGCCTGCCGTCAAAGTCGAACGGTCCGAAGGGGAGGCGTGGAGCTGAATATATGTACAACTCACTCTGAGAGGACGCCCCACGTTGGGCGCCAGATGTAATGTATGTGCCACTCATCTTCTTTGGGTGAAATGAGAGAACAAAAAACACAGACAACACAGACAGACAGACAATGGCTGCATCCCTGATGTGGCGCAGCACCTTTATTTTTATACTGCCTTTCTCGGAGCTCAGCCAAGTGCTATACTCATCTTTCCCATCTCAGGGGGGGACAGGCCAGAGCACCCTGGTAAGCAGGGGAGGTGTTTTCACACATCCTCAAGGTCTCCCTATTTTCAGAGTGAGGAGTCTTGGCTCGTCTTTGAGGACAAGATATGTTTTTGTGGGCCGATAATAACTTCCAAGGACTGTACCGGTTGCTCTCAAGCTGGTGCTTTCCCGTGCTGTGTTCAGACATGGGGGAAGGTGCTTTCCCATTCTGCCTACAAACATGTGAGAAGACAAAGGCCGTCCCCTACAATGCTGTGACTGCTGGTTGTGTGTCAATGAGGCACTGGCTCTTGTTCTGTAGAAATGTGCAGGGGAATGACTGATACCCTGTATAATATATGCATCTATCAGCTGGATGCTTGTGAAAGAATAGTCATTAGAGTGAAAAAGCAATCATGTGGTTTGCAGGGATCTCTTCTCCTAAGATCAGATGCTGACTGTAAGACCTTTACATATACTCTTTAAAAGATTGTGTAGGATCTCATAAGCTGTGGTAAGGAGTTTTGATTATATTCTAAGTGCAGTTGGAAAACTGTGTGGGATTCTTAAATTTTGTGCAACATCAGAATTGACAGATTGAATATTTAAAAAATGGGAAATCCAATGCTTATTGGTGTAAATTCTTATTTACTTGATGTGAGGTGGTACACTGACATCCAGTTTTTCAGTACACTATTCAGGTGATTTTATTATACACCTGAATTTAGAAACTACTGACTTAACCTGTTTTCCTAACAACTTCCCTCATCTTTATAAAGAACATTTATGTTCTTTTTCAAATTGAAGGCCAAATACACCATCTTCACTTCTTTACTGATATTATTTTCAGTTTTTTCCCCCATTTCTGCCATAGAAGTTTTATTTCTCCCCAAAGAGGAAAGAAACACTGTGTGTTTACTTTTCTGGTTATCTTTCAGACTTGGAGTTCAGATGTAAGACCAACGAATTATGTCTGCAAAAAGAAATATATGAAGTGATGGCATCCCACCAGATGAAAACGGAAAGAAGTCATAGCCTTGCGGCTTCAGTGTCAGAGGTGACTGGGAATGCAAAGGCAGCTTGAGAAGCAAGAAATGAATCAGTAGGAATATTTGGGGAGGCATTAGTGATGTACAGAAAAATGCCAACTTTTAGCCTACAAACATCTCTTACGGTACATCAGCAAATTTATCCTGGGGAGAAATTATGTAAATTTGAAGAATGTGGGAAGGCCTTTACTTATGACTTAAGCAACAGCAAGGAATTCATATTGGTGAGAAACCCTATAGATGTAAGAAATGTGGGAGGGTCTTTAGACATTTTTCCTATCTTACGGAACACCAAAGAATTCATTCTGGTGAAAAGCATTATGAATATAAGGAATGTGGAAAAGCTTTTATTTGTGGCTCACATCTTAATCAGCATCAGAGAATTCATTCAGGTGAGAAACCCTATAAATGTCAGGATTATGGGAAGGCTTTTAGACAGTCTGCACACCTTACTTGACATCAGAGAATTCATTCTGGTGACAAACCTTATAAATGTAAGGAATGTGGAAAATCTTTCATTTGTGGCTCAAAACTCAATCAACATCAGAGAATTCATACTGGTGAGAAACTGTATGGTTGTAAGGAATGTGGGAAGGCCTTTAGATTGTGTTTACAACTTGGTCAGCATCAGCGACTTCATACTGGTGAGAAGCCTTATCAATGTAGGGAATGTGGGAAGGCCTTTCTTCGTGGCTCACAGCTTACTGAACACCAGAGAATCCATCCTGGCATGAAATACTATGAATGTAAAGAATGTGGGAAAGTGTTCATTGGTGGTTCCCAACTTTTTCAACATTACCAAATTCATACTGAGAAGTCCTATGAATGTGCACAATGTGGGAAGGCCTTTATCTGTGCCTCACAACTTACTTAACATCAGCAAATTCATACTGCTATGAAACCCTGTCAATGCAAAGAATGTGGGAAGGCCTTTATCCATGGCTCAGAACTTACCCGACATCATAACATTCATACAGGTGAGAAACCCTATGAATGTAAGGAATGTGGGAAGGCCTTTAGACAGTCCGCACACCTTACTCAACATCAGAAAATTCATGATCTAACATAACAAATGTAGGAAACCCTTTACTTCACATTCATTTGTCATACATCTCAGATTTAATGCTATAATAAAGTACAGTAGATATGGCAGCAATTTTTACCTAATTTTATTCAGAACCAGAACATTTAATACTGAAAAAAAATTGATCATGAATATAGAAGAGTTTATCATGACTCAAATCTTACCGAAATTCTACAAATCCATACTAGAGAATTGGAAAGTGAGAAAAGGCTTACCATTTAAGATTTATGTGACACTAGACAAATTATTTAACTTCTCTGTGCTTCAATTTACTAATAGATAAGCTGTTGATAGTATCTATTTATAATAAAGTTTTGATGTTTGACCACTGATATCTTTTTAAGATCACCCTTTTTATGCACTTTGGCCCAACATCTAGAAAGGCTGATAAGAAAGCCTGTGTGCATCTCCTCCTTTGGAGCCAGGGGGGAAATTTAAACCTTGCAAATTCCAGCCTATGTCCAGTCCCAACCCCATCTATTATAAAACCAACCTGTTCTCTTCTCTCTGCCTTGCTCAGGCCACTCCAGACCTGCTTGTGCAGGCCCTGCTTTTCTCAGGAGTCCCTTTTGTGAGTAACAAACTTTCATACTCTCTTGGTGTGTGGAACATCGTCAGTCTCAACATTTGGTGTAAAATTGGGAGGAGGTCAATCCCAATTCTGTGGAGTGACCAAAAATTAATTTGTGTAGCTAGCTGTCAGGACAATCTTTAGGCTGTGACCACCACTACTTTGAGATTTTTCTTCTCTTGCTCTGAGATTACTAACTAGGTAAAACCACTCTAAATAGTCGGGGAGATGGTTTTGCTGCTTGCTGGCAAGGGTGCACTTTGAGTTGTACTGCTCTGTACTGCATTTGCTGAGTACTACAGAGCCTCTGTTACAGATTCAGTCAACCTAAGTCAGAAGTTTTGATAACTGGTATTTAGGGATGGGCTGAACAGGATTTGAGCCCTCCTTAAAGTGGCCCTAGCTTGTCTCTTGGTCTGGATACATCTGTGGGTGTCGTAGAGTTGTATGTCTCAATTCCAACATAGGCTGTGACGGTGCCTGCCGTCAAAGTCGAACGGTCCGAAGGGGAGGCGTGGAGCTGAATATATGTACAACTCACTCTGAGAGGACGCCCCACGTTGGGCGCCAGATGTAATGTATGTGCCACTCATCTTCTTTGGGTGAAATGAGAGAACAAAAAACACAGACAACACAGACAGACAGACAATGGCTGCATCCCTGATGTGGCGCAGCACCTTTATTTTTATACTGCCTTTCTCGGAGCTCAGCCAAGTGCTATACTCATCTTTCCCATCTCAGGGGGGGACAGGCCAGAGCACCCTGGTAAGCAGGGGCGGTGTTTTCACACATCCTCAAGGTCTCCCTATTTTCAGAGTGAGGAGTCTTGGCTCGTCTTTGAGGACAAGATATGTTTTTGTGGGCCGATAATAACTTCCAAGGACTGTACCGGTTGCTCTCAAGCTGGTGCTTTCCCGTGCTGTGTTCAGACATGGGGGAAGGTGCTTTCCCATTCTGCCTACAAACATGTGAGAAGACAAAGGCCGTCCCCTACAATGCTGTGACTGCTGGTTGTGTGTCAATGAGGCACTGGCTCTTGTTCTGTAGAAATGTGCAGGGGAATGACTGATACCCTGTATAATATATGCATCTATCAGCTGGATGCTTGTGAAAGAATAGTCATTAGAGTGAAAAAGCAATCATGTGGTTTGCAGGGATCTCTTCTCCTAAGATCAGATGCTGACTGTAAGACCTTTACATATACTCTACCCTGCCGCCCATGCCTTTGTCACAGCAATGATCCTCATTAGGGTTATTTGGAAAAACACCTATGGTGTCCTATGGCACAGACATTTATTAACATATCCTACTACTGAAGTAAGTCCCCATTTCAGTTTCCAGAGCTGCCCTATACTATTGCAGAATCTCACCAAAAGACCTGGTACTGATAACACTATGATCTGGGCTTCTCCAATTATTTCATCTCACGAATACCCCTGAGGAGTTCCAGGTTCTTCTGTGACAGACTTTGTTAAGTGTCCAATCTCCTCATCCAAACCCATATCCCTAAGGTGTAGGACCCACTATCCCATTCCCTAACCTGAGTCAATGGCAACCTCCCTAGCATCATGCAAATTGTTGATGCAGCCCTTACAGACTGAGATCCATTATACAAGATCTATAAAAGAGAAGAAGTAATTATCCCCATTTACAGCCCAATTTGGCCTGTCTTAAACCTGGAAAGAATGAATGGTGCCTTAGAGTGGGTTGCCACAACCTTAATGTCATGGTCCTATCCATTAAAATGGGTGGTTAAATCCATTAACTGAAATGATTTAAATGGTACAAGTTTTCACTTAATAAGTAAGTTGTGAGTATCTAATGTACAGCATGATGACTATAGTTCATAAAACTATATTGTATACTTGAAATTTAGTGAGAGTGAATCTTTAATGTTCTTATGACACACAGAACAGTAACTATAATGTGTGTATAATCATCACATTGTACACTTTAAATATATACAATTTTATTTGTCAGTTTGCTCCTTAATAAAATGGGCAGGAGGAAGAAATGACTAATACAGTTCAATCTTCCACTGCCAAATTCTTTGCTGTCATAGGTTTGGCTAATATATTCTACTTGTATCTGTTTCAACAACCTCTCAATTCCCATTCAGCTTTGAAGGGACACAACATATTGTCACTTGGTTGTCCATACTTAAGCAGCCTGGCTATTGCACACAACCTCTGCTGACAAGACCTCGAATGGATCCAGGTGTCCCTTTGTTCCCAGTTTTGGCGGTACAGTGATGACATTCTCTGATTAGGATATCCACTAGATACTAACACAGGCCATACAGTTACCAGTGCACTTCTGAGAGGGGATGGGCTATTGCCCTACATGAGGTTCAGGGGCCTGTCACCTTGATTAAATTCTTGGCCTCATCTGGTCTGCTGAGGGCTCCATTTCTGATGTTGTTAAAAGGCAACTTCTTTATCAGCTGCAACCACTCTCAAGCAAGCCCTACACCTATTAGGTTTCTTTGGCTTCTGGAGGCAAATATATTCCTGTTTCCTGAAAAGGGATGAGACAGAGGGTCAGCACAGTTGGCTCTAGGCAGTCACCTTGGCATTAGAGGATGTCCTGGCCAAAAATCCTGGACCACTGCCAGTAGTCTGGCCATTTAATCCTGCCAATAGCAACAATTTCTCATTCAAGGCTTCTCCTTTTAGCATAGTGAAGAACTGTGGGTAATTCCTTGCCTCTTAGACATCAGATATACAAATTAAGGTCACACATGTCTCCGCCTACACCAAAGGCTCAGAGTGCCTAGGCCCAATTTAAAGCCTACGCTGGTAAGCACAAAGGTTAGAGACTCCCCCAGATCACACTCCAGATCCTATTTTTCCTATTTCTGGCCCAGTGTGCCTTTGAAATATTCGAGCATAGAGGAGCTTTTACTTTGTTCTTGCAATGAGTGCAAAAGGCTGTCCCTTTGTACTGTCATAGCCAATGTGGTGACAAGCCAGTGTGCTCTGTGGAAGACCTGTCATTGGCAATATAACTGCTGGGGTACCATTCCATAGAGGTCCTGCCCCTACAGTCACTGGCAAATAGAATTTATTGGGCCACTACCCTCTGCTGGTGTCACTTACTATGCCTTGGCTATGGCACATACCTACACTTGCATTTTACATGCCCTCCCCACTAGACAGCAACTGCAGGAACTCCCGTATATGGCCTCACTAAAACACTTCATTTGTCTTGGAGTTCCAGGTATTATCAACCAAGCACTCAACTTTACTTCTCAAAGTCCACAACCACGGCTTTTTGAACAGGCATTCAATGTAACTTTCACTTTCCCTCAGCCCATGGCTGCCAAACTTCTAAAATACCATACTGGCTTGCTTAAACAAACCTTACTGAAATTACACAGTCAGTGTGGCCTTCTGAATGAGTCTCCTTTCTGCCACTGGCCCTCATTAAACTGAATTCCTGACCTGTAGGGCCCTCTATATCAAAATGCACTCATACACCTCAACTGCCTTTCCTTACCTACTGTGATGACACTCCACAAACTAGGGTTTATGAAGATCACACTGAATTAGAAATTTCTACTTTCCTTTATCTATCCCTTTTGAGTCTTGCCCCATCCCAGCTTCGATGGAAGTCAGACTGAGGGTGGATTGTTTATTATAACCATCCATCACCGAATGCCTCTGTGGTCGTCTGCCTTAGGGGCGCTCTGATGATGATTCGCCCAAGTCATATGGTTTGCCAAAATTTTCAAGCTATAAAGGACATTTAATTGATAATGTCAATGATGATTTCACTCAGGAGAGATCACTGCCCCAGGACTCATGCCCACAGTGGTGTAGAGAGCAGAGAGAGGCCAAGGAAGATTAAATCTGTTATTAGCCAAGTTTTCTAGTTTCTGTCTGATGCTTTGACATTTGGGGCCTTGCTGACCAAGGAGCGATGGCCCTCTCCCTGGGTTGGATTCCTGGAGTCAGCAAATGACTCTCCAGTGAGTGCACCGTTCATATACAAAAATAACCAATCCAGAGCCTGTATCCCCCACCCACCTCCTTTATCAAACTATTCCCCTGCCTTAATCATCCCAGGGCCAGGTATCAGACAACTTGGGCCAGCACCTACAAACGGAGCCTGGCTTGCCCATTCCTTTCAGTGAAAAACAATAAAGCTTCTCCCACAGCTCCCCTCTCTCTAGAACTGACATGGTGTTCTTTGATCCAGTGTGGCATACTGTGCCCCCCTCCACTTGGGAACTATGAGTAATAAACTGTCTTTTATCTCCTGATCTGTTTGTCTTATCATGCCTGAATAAAAATAAGATCTACATTTTTTTATTAAGGTATAATTGATACACAATCTTATGAAGGTTTCACATGAGCAACATTTCGGTCACTACATTCACCCATATTATCAAATCCCCCCACACACTCCAGGGCAGCCACTGTCCATCACCATAGTAAGATGCTATAGAGTCACTACTTGTCTTCC